CATCAAAATCCAGTTGTCCCCATACAACACAGAGGATACCCAAGTTCACTGGGGCGAGGTGACTAGCTCAGAGGTTTCCAGCATATGCCAAGACAGCCAGAGTCAGTCCTTTAAGTTTTCTGTTCCCCAGGCCCCATGTTCTTTCTGCTATATTCCTTTTCTCTAAAAATAATAAAAACTGATCTGAAAGGCCATATAAAATCCACACACAGAACACAACTTTGACAAGTCTTCCTTTTCCCAGATTGAGGGCTGAGAACCATCCAGATGCCAAGCTTTCTGGTACAAGTCACGAAGTGCAGGAGCGAGGCTGGCATCTACAGAGATGGCTAATAATGGCCATCCTGTGGACATCACAGGTGCTGTGGACAATGTAACGCTTTGTATTTGGAGATTAGAATTTTACTAGCTGTGTGTGTACGAGACAGGCTGTAAGGTGTTTAAAAAGGGAATAAATAGGACTAAAGTTAGTGGATACAGGACTAAACATGAGAAGACCAGGCTTCAAAATTAACATCCAGTTAAAGACAACAAGTGGCTGTAAAAGTGGGCATTTTGCTTTGATCAAGGGAAGGCCATGTTTGGCAGCAACAAAAAAGCTGCTAATGCAAAGGAAAGAACGAGTACACCCAAGGGTGAGGGCATAGTCATGGCAAAAACACCCCAGAGGAGACCAAAGGGGCCGAGGTACAAAGTTCAGATGGAGGGGCTAGCACAGCACAGATGGGATGGCCCTGCGTGTTGCCCAGGCTCACAGCTCCATCATGCGCTGCCAGGCACCCAAGGGAATGGATGGTGTCGCCAGGCATCCACGGAACACCCTTTCCAGGGCGCACACTGGCAACAGAAGGCTGCATCTGAGCAATCCAAAGCATCCACAGAAAACAGTGCTCCAATAAAGAAGTTGTCCTATTTGTCAAAAAAGTAAACTATTTTGAGCAACTATTATGAACTAGTGGGAAAAACCTAAGACTTCCATTCATATTTTTATAAACTTAAACATATTAAAATGATAGAAGCACCATGTTTAAAGGAATATTCACAGACACCCAAAGAATATTTCTGTGATGTGAATATTTACTGAGAAGGGCAGTAGCTAAGCTATAGATATCTACAAACCCAAATACTTGATCAGATTTGAAGAGCTCTGGCTCAATAATAAAATCATGCACTGTAGGTTCACAAATTTATTTAAGATTGTTTCCTATAAGCATTTTAATCATGGTCTATGTGAAGTCAAACAAGACGTGTTTGTATAATGAATTATGCAAGGAACTTTTAACTACAGATACAAGACATCAAGAATATATTCACTTTTTGATTTATTAAAACAAAGCTACACCTCTGGGCTTCTTACAATATATTAACAGGTGTAAAAATCAATCCATATTTCCAAATCAGTTTCATTCACAACATCACACCATGCTATTTTACGGTGCTTTATAATCAATCTTTTTACAACAATCTAACATTTCTTTGTACAACAGGCAAACAGTTTAACACCTTCCATCAAGGCATTTCAGAACTTTAGATGTTTAGAAATAAAGTCAAAAGTCTCTTTCAAATGCCATCATTTTGTATTAAACTGAAATGCCAGATGCCAAGTCTCAAGTTCCTAAAAAGAGTGCTTTAAAAAACAGATTTACATCCAAATTAAGTCTTATAAACCTCAGTGGTAGGTCCTATCATTTCTAAACACCAGAACTATTTGTGGATAAAAAGCTGCATTTGATTGTGCAATATCTTCTGCTAGGTCTGACTTAAAATCTTAATTTTTTACCCCAATTAATCCTAGTGTTAATTTTGCTCCTTTCAGTTAAAAACCCAGAGACATTGAGGGCTGATCTTTCATTGAAGAGCTCTGACCACCTATACGATAGTTTTCTGTGCTTATTGTCTCCAGGGGAGGAAGTGTACATCCATTAAACACGACGTTTGATCGCACAAAATGTATGCAGATATGCCTCTGTACCACCTGGCAGTTACTGTCTTGTCCTCTTAAAGAAATACATAACGTAGTGTTTCCCAAAATGTTTTCTGTGAACCTCAGGGGAGGTCCATAGGGGTGTTCAGAAGGTGAGAAAGGCTCTGGGGTCGCACAGATTGGGAAATGCTGGGTTAATACAGGTTTCGTACCAGCGGGCCCTGAGCCGTTACTGTGCTAAAGTGCACTGTGAGTTTCTAGGAATGAGGGTTCATGTGCAAATTAATTTTATCAGCAACACTTTTTCCACAAAACACCTAAGAACATCTCATAGAGCACTCATATACACGGAGAACTCTGGGAAATGGTTTGCTCCTCAGATTGGAAATTCCACAATCTGAGTTTACATTCACTGCGGTCCCTGATGCATTTTCCCCACTCACCCTTGTGACTTTATGAGACGTCACAGATCTGAGGAGGACTCGTAGTCCTTTCTCTGTTACTAGTTCTACACACCTCACACTACTTCCTTCCTTTTCTCTTAAGAGCGAAAGTTCCTTCTTCTCTTTTTAATTACTTAGGACTTTCTCATTTTGAAAGAGTGTAGCTTCATATTGCTTATCATTGGGACTTTTTGTTTGCTTTTTAACTCGACTCACAGTCTGTCTTCCCCTGGAGGGCATGCATTTCAGTATTACAGAAATGCAATAGAGTAAACGGTAATAAATTATTTACAAGCACCTATTTTGTTTAATCTTACGTGAAAGCCATTCGCTTTTGGAGAACAAGGAGAATAAATCTTTTAGCAAAACAGTGGTATCTGGAAGCCTTACTGGGATGATGGATGTTCGTTCAGTAACGAGGCACTAAAGAATGAGCTGTGCTAAAATTAACTCGAGGGTGAGCTTGTCTGGATGAGCAGAACTTTGGTTGAGATTTGTCTTCCTCAAAAAAGGTTTTCAAAGCACCAGTTAATTACAGAAAGCATGCATATTTATTCTCACAGTGAGTTAAGTGGTGAGAGAGCTAGCAAATCATACATTGCATTCCCCAAAGCATCTGACTAGATTTCTAGAAAACAAATCAACTGAAAGGGAAGAGAGCCAGAGAAGCTGCTGCTCCCCGCTAGGCTGGCAAAGCAGCAGCTCCTAGCGGAAGTCACAGGCGGAGCAGCAGAGGCCACAGGGCGGTCAGTCCCAACCTTGACGTAGTCTGAGTGACCCTTGGTCTATAATTTCATGGATGTGTAAAAAAGACTAGTGAAACGTTTGCTTACCTAGATAAGGAACACACAAGGGGATACATAAGCCTCCCTGGCTGTTCCCCAAACACAGAGCTCAACCCTACTTAGGATGTAAAGTGGAATGTAACACGGTGAAGACCCCACTCCACATCAGAGCCGCTGCAACACTGGCAATGGCTTAATGGGATGTGAGCTCCTATAAGGAAAACATGCTTTAAATGCGGAATTTGAGAAGAGTGGAAGAAAATCACAACAGCATGGCATTATTGCTCCGAGTTTCAAAAATGTCATACAATGTGAAATACCGATCAGAATTTTTCCCTCTCCCAACACACACAGAATATTCACAAGACATTATTAGTGTTTAAAATCCAAGCTGACAAAAGTACAAACTTAATTCTCAGTACCTTTCTATTAAATTCAAAGATGACCTGCAGTATTTGTCAGGAAAAATTCCTAATTCCTTAATACCACGGAGAGAAGAAGAAACAGTCATCTGTTAGAAAACATTTTATATCACATGATCTTTAGGAAATCACCATCATTACCACAATTAGCGAACAATTATGATCCCTGCTCACAAAAAAGGCACCTACCTGTTATGAACAATTTTTCATAATTATTTGCCACTATATGGCATCAGGGTTTAGGAAAATAACCCATGCATATTTTTAAAGAACCATGGTTTTCTTTTTCTCAAAGCTAAAAAAATCTACAAATGCCTCTGACCATCTGCCAGTCTGCAGGGCCATCACATATGTGATGTACAACCCACAGGTGGTACTCTGCCCAACTTGAGTGGGTACCAGCCACTCAAAAGTGTACAACCAGTCTGCAGGACATAAGAGGCCTGGGTCATGAGTCTGCAGCCAGAGCACTTTACACGAACACAGGCAATCAGGTCAAGCTAATAAGTTAGGACAGTTGCTATCTCCAAGAAACAACCGTACCTGACAGGCAGGTACTACCTGAGGCAGGAGGTGGGGGGAGGGGTGGCAGGTAAGGGATACAGACATAAAACAGGAGTTGTTCCTAAATACTTGCTGGTCATTTAAAACTCAATGGCACTTTTTCACATGAGCAAACATTTTCAAAGTCAGTTTTCCAGCCAAGTTTATCTTGAATTTCACCAGCCAAATTTATTTCCTGGTATGAGCTGATTGGTCAGATTATCTCTATTCCTGACCTAAATCAATATTGTGTTTTCACTTAGCTCTTAAAACACTTTCTATACCTGACTGCAACAGACAGCACAGTGACACCTATGTGTGAATAGCCCATTCATTTTAAAGCACTTTGCGAGGAAAAAAATGTTCCCATTTAACAGTTAGCTACAATTGACATAGATAAAACTGAAAAAAAAAAAAAAAACAGAAAAAAAAACGAAAAACAGTGAATGGATAACACAATTACTTTTAAAGGAAGCATTAATCGGAACATATACCAACAAATTACCTGACAGCATTAAGTGTACTGAACACAATTCAGTTTTAGAATCAACTACATTTGTGTGTCCATCACAGTAATAAGTCCCTAACAGTTATATTTAGAATGTAAATCTTTAACAAACTCCAAAATTTCATTTTGCAATCTATTGATTATGAACTGCAGATGGAGGCTGGGGCCCCCATGGTGTGATCTGCAGGCTGCTGTGTCACCTCAGTGTCCAACCATCACAGATCACGGAGGGGAGAAGGCACTTGTCTTCCGGGAGGTCGCGTCAGGACAGGTCAGGCCCGACCACACGATGGCGCCGCCCACCCTCGTGCCACAGGCGGAGCCTACGAGGAACGGGTCCCACGCCCTGCACTTGCCAGAGGTGGCCCAAGTTACCTACAGCACCACAAAACTCAGAATATATTCCAGGAGTTTTTGCCGGTTGCATTGAGGTAGAAAAGTGCTGCTGAGTTCTAAAACAGACACTCTCTTTTGTTTGGTCTCTTTGAAAACCTAGAGAGAAAGTTGAGATTCAATTAAAGAGAAACGAAGACGGGCAAGGGGGCGGGGAGACATTTCTGTCACCAACCCTTACTTGATGTGCAGTAAGGCATGCAAAGCCATAGCCAGGCTTTAAGAAAATGTATGTGTAGGGTGTGTGCGAGTACAGGGTAGGAAGGTTACGGGGGTGGGAGATTATGGGGGCAGGTGTGGGGTTTACTAGTGTACTAGATTCTAAATTTTAGGTTAAAGTCGCAGAATAGTTCCTTACAAAGACCACTAGTACCTCCATGGAACTTGTGTCCCAAGTAACTTGTGAAGATAAAGGATACCCAAGGATACTTCTAGCAATACTGGTAAAAATACAACAAAATAACTGAAAATCATATGGCATGCTTAACATTCCCACCAAAACTGTAGTAGAATCTCGAAACACATGGACACCTTCATTTAGGATGAAGATGAAAACCAGGACAATTTTGGAACATTCAAATAAATCTTTGTGGAGGGGCCTCACCTTCAACATGCCCCTCCTCCTCCCAATCCCCAGAAATGCCTGCATGATTAATCCTGCAGAAACTGCTTCTCTCAGGGTCCAGACCAACACAAAGGTAACTCAGACAGAATAGATCTAAACAGAGAGGACAGAAGTGAATACACACTCTTGTACATAAGCGGTGGACACTCACCCCGATATCCTTAAACATTTTCACAGCGTTCTTCACAAGACAGTAAGTGGCGCTCTCAGCTGTGGAGAAAGAATCAGGCCCTGTCAAATGTTTAGGTCCAGCGATAATGAAAACCCCAATATCCATGGGAAGAGAGTGTAGGAGGCCGCAAAGGGTCTGCTCTTTCTTTAAATCTACTCTGTCATCTTTTGGGGGAGGGGGGAAATGGAGAGAGGGGTAGGGAGAGGAGAAAAAGGGAGGGAGGAAGGGGAGGAGGCAGGGAAGGACAGAGAGAACAGGAAAGGAAAGAGAAATCCCAAAACACCCATCTTGACGGCTTTTTGTGAGACTCAAATGAGCCAGAATGCAGTTCTTTTAAACCGTGCAGGAATGCAGAGACGACTCCCTACTGCAGTGAAACCAGAAAGATCGCAAGCCCGGAGGTCAGAAAAAAGGAATTCTAAACCCAGGCTGCCCTTTAACTAGCTGCATGATCTGGAATATTGTCCTCATCGCTAAAGTGAGGTGATTCTAGGTCTTGATCTCCATCTAGAGATACAGCTATAGATGTAGCTATAGATGTCTCTATATCTCAATCTGTAGAGTTCTAGCCATCTCTAAATAAATATCTAGTGATCGATTATCTCTAGATCCCTCATGGCTTTAAAAATTATTGATTCAAAGTACCTGCAGTCCTACAGCATAACTAGAGAATGCTACTCCCACCCCAATCACACCTCTCTCATAAGAGACAGAACCAGGTGCCGGCCAGGAGTGAGGCAACAGAGGCGCACACTGCTGCTGGGAATTTCAGGGTTTTGCACTCGGGAACCGTTGGACCACACCTACTAACGCCAAACACTCCACACCCTGCAAATAGGCAACTCTCCTAGATAGGCCAACATAAATGAGTCCATTTGTTCACCCAAGGACACACTCAATCTTGTTCACAACAGCACTATTCAGAGGAGCTCTGAACTGCAAAACCCAAATATCCATCAGTGATGGATGCGAATCAATAAAATGTGGTAGATATTTATACAATGGAATACTACAATGCAACAAGAATAAACAACTACATGCAACAGCATGTATGAATCTCGCTTACAATGTTAGAAGAAAAATGCCAGACTTGATATATAATCTGTGTCATTCAATTTATACAACACAGCCAAAGAGGCAGTAGGAGCAATCCATGGAGTGACAGGTCAGGATAATTTTGCTTTTTTTTCCCCCATCTATCTGCAATGAGTAGATTTCCGTAATCAGAAACGACATAGGTTTCAAGAAAAGCCAAGAGACGGGCACACATACCGTACACGGCAACCCTCCTCTCCGTTCTCGTGATCAGGTGCTTGTGCAGCTTCTGCAGGAGCTCCGGCTCGGGGACGGGACCGCTGAAGTTGTGAATGAAGACGGCGGCAGAGCTGTAGGCCTCCAGCAGGGGCCCGAGGAGCCTCTGCAGGAAGGCGATGAACTGCTGGTGCTCCCTGGACTGGCTCACCTGGGAGAGCGAGAGCGGGAGGCCCAGTCGTGGGGGGACAGAGGCACCCCCGGAGCGCCCGCAGCCCCAGGAGACGGCCCCTCACTGTCCCACACAGGAGCAGCCTACTGCTCCGTGGGCTCAGAATCGCCCCTGGAGATGCCTGCTGGCTTTGAAATGTGCTCTTTATTGTAACCACTTTCATAGTATTTGAGGTTTACGTTCATTGAACAGCTGCCTGGAAAAAAACGGCTGTACTTGAATGACATAATTATGACATCCTGTCATCACTGAAAATGGCTGGTCCCCAAGCTGGACCCTCCAGGCTTTGAAGCCTGGCTCAGCAGTCACTCACGTGCACGAAAGGCCACATGCCAAGACCCCTAGTATCATCTCAGTCCCTCCCAGCCCTCATGGCCTGCCAGGCCCACGTGGTCTCTGGCCCACAGTCCAGCACTGCAGGAAAAGGTGGTGGTGGTGATGGGGTGCTCTGGGCAGTGGGGGCTCTCAGTGCCCCCTGAAAAAAACATCCACATTCAGATAAGCCTCCCTGGGGCAAGATTACTGCCCCGTTTTGAAACTACTAATACCTAAAAGGAAAACACCCCAAAAGTCACTTGGACTCTCCTGACTCTGTATGCCTATATGTGCCTGTGTGTGCCTGTGCATGCACGCATGCATATGCGTGTGGGTGTATTACCCCACTGCAAAGAAAGTAATCCACTTAACGGTATTCAGAAAAGAAGGATCATTATTACTAATTGCTAAAATTACAAATTAGACAAAATCGCTTTTTCTAAAGGAGGGACAATTGATCTTTTAAAAATCAAATTTTCTGATAGGATTTGTTTAAATGAAGGCAAACAGACTGATGCATGGAATTCTGGGAGTGATGGCAAGACGGAACACGACTCAAGCAGAGCAACTGGGCCAGCGGCAGCGGAACATGAACTATTCTCCCTCCCCTGGCACCGCACCGCCTTGCCTCGGTGATGCCTGAACAGAACCTCTGCCTCTTCAGCAGTGAGTGCAGGGATGGCTACCGGCCTGCACCCATGCATTCTGGTGAGAGGGTCACGAAAGGTATCATCTATGACGTCATCTTCCTGAAAGTTGAGATTCTTGTCTCTTTTTCCATTTATCTATACCCCAGACTGAATCGTTTCAGGTATAAATTCAATTCAGTTTCAGGGTCTTAACTGGGCAGAAAGTACCACGGCCAGTTTATGAGTGCTTTGAGTACGTCACCAGAGTCCCAATTTTTAAGCACCTTGTCAATCTATGGCAACATGAGCCTCAACTCAGCACTGTGGTGTCCACCCAGATTCTTCACCCAAGTACCTTCAGGTAGCAATCTCGTTGCTCCTCACCAAAATCGCTGTCTTCATCTTCTTCATCACTTCTCCAAGACAAAGGTTCCGGAAGCTTCTTGTCCCACTGCTGCTCGGCAAGACCAGGACTGATATCTTCCTGATCATCTTGCTATGCCAGGGAGATGACCAACAGTTAATAAATATTCATAGGCACACAAACACCCGCCCGGCTGGACCCCAAAGTTGTCCTCTCTCATGCCCGGCCCTACTCTGTTCTGCCCAGCCGTGCATGACCTCAATCCAGCACCCTCTCCAAACCCAAAATCACTTGGGAGACAGCAGGGGAGGAAAGAAGAAAAGAAAGAGTGAGGGTGAAAACTGCCAGACACGCCAGTTAAAGCACCATCAGCTCTGCTAAACTGCTATCTATTTTCCCAGGCCACATCCTTTATACGAAAGCTGCCAAAATTAAAACAAAATCTCAAAAAAGAAAAATGCACACATGAAAGCTACAACAAGCACATGGATATGCAGAAGATCTGATCTTGGAACACAGGCTTCTGGATGCCATGGAACCAAGTCAAGATATACTTTATGCAACACCAGTTACATAAAAGGAACCAAAATAATATTAAACCATCCCAAAAGACATTTACTCTCTCCATGCCTATTTTTCTCATCTCATCTTGGACATGACTCTCTCTCTCTCTCTCTCTCTCTCTCTATATATATATATATGTATACACACATACACACATCAAATGGAATCATTGGTAAAGCGGGTGGCAGAAAAGACAATGAAGGACAAGAAACTAAAGGCAAGCAAAGGCAAGCTGGTCTTCTTACCTCCGCCACTGTAAGAATGCCATACTGGATAAACCTGCCCACTGTTTCATGGCAAATTTGGTAAAAGGTCTGGCAGGGCTGCAGAGAAAAGGCATTCCAGTGTGAATGTCATGGTCTTCCACTTATTTTTTTTTAAAGACAGTGTACAAAGTGGCTGCCAAATACTCCCAAGGTATCACCTGCCTCCCTCCATTAGTCAAGCACTAAGATTTCTGATGCCACTGTCTTGACAAGCTCACACTGTGGACAAAGTCTGAGAAGAGACCTGGTCACCTGACTGGCAGAGCGCCCAAGAGGCACCACCTGCAGACGGAGCTCCTGAGTTGGGTCCCCCTGACCCCCACCCTTCCAGTAGAGTGCGGCCTCAGAAGGCCACATGTCCGGCCCCTACACATATTTTTTTCCTTTTTAAGATAATTTCCCTGCAAAATCTATCTTACAGTAAATGCTGTACACAAAGGTGGTGGATGAGGAAATGCAATATGTATTCAAGTAATTAAAAAAAAAAACCCCAAGTGAAAGACGTCAACCTTGAGAGCCTTATCCACACTTTTCTCTCCCATCCTGCCCCCCCAGATTCATGCAAAACAGATTGCACACCAGGACACAAATATAACATATACAGACAGTGCTGTGGAGGAGGCCTGTACTCCCAACACCTATACTCAGGAATGTCCTAGAACACATTCCCATAAGTGGAAAACAACAGACTTTAAAATAAGAATTTTATTTATTGATGACTTTGAGGGAAAAAAAATCTCTCTACTGCTTAATAGGTATACCTCATTATAAATGTCTACAAGCGTTTAAATATAACATAAATGCTCGCTAGTTCTGCTGGGCCTTAGCTTCCCCATTTGGAGGAGGGGCTGAGCAAATGCATTTGAAGACTGCTTCTGACACTCAACTTCTAGGTTTCTTACACCCACGGGTGGGCATGTTTATCATTTACAAACCCCTGACGCTGTGGCTTATGCATGAGAAGAGGTTCTGCACCTCTGGATCTGAGTGACGGAGAGTGCTGAGCCCTTGGAGTCATCACAGCACAGGAAGGGGTCCCTGGAGCAGTGACCCCAAGAACAAACCAAGAGAGTAATGACACAGTGGTCGGGTGGTCACCGAGACCCAGGAAGAGGAGGCAGAGCTTCAGTAACAGACCAAAAATTCCCCAAGAGGAAAGCATCTTACATTTTCATTAAGATGCTCAAGAATAAGAGAACAGGAGACACTAAAGAGTCTTCACTTACGAGAGAGATGGTGCCTTCATTGGAGAGCAGATAGCACAGGCTGGCGGCCTTGCGTACCAGCTGCTCCTGGCTGATCAAGCTGGGAGACGCGGGCCCTCCTGGGCCCCTCTTCTTCAGAACTGCGTAAAGGCTGCAGGCTGAGAAAGTAAAAGCATCAGCGAAGCTGGCAGCCTTAGATTTCCAAGAAAAACCTCAACTGGCTCAGACTGGCTGCACTGCTGCAAAAGATCATTGATACGTCCAAAATAATTATCTGTGTTCACTGGAAAAATGTAAGTGAATCCCTTCAGAATTTACTTCTTGTGATTCCACGTGACCCCAACCCTGTCAAACCTTCCTCAGAAGCTTCCGTCCCCTCTGCTCCCTTCTCCTCCGTTCCCTCCACTCACTTCACAGCCACGTGCAGGTCTCATCTCACCTAGATTTTCAGCTCCTGGGCAGCAAGACATTTGACCTCTCCTACTTGGTAAATCATGTAATACTATGTACGCAGTAGTGCAGTTACTGCTCATTGAGTAGTAAATATGAAAATAAGTTGTAATCAGTGAAACAGCAGATGACACTTTTATTTCAAAACTAAATCTACAGCAACACATTCCTTGAAACAAGGGACAATCACCCACACTGAAGCAGACACCATCACGTGCTTTTGGCCACTTGCCTGGCCATGAAAATACTTCAGGGCCTGACTTACCTACGATGGCCTCCATGATGAAGACGTGGAGCACCCCATTGCTGTAGAAGTTGAGTTCAAAGACTGAGGGGATAGTTGTGCTGGGAGTGATAAAAAACTCGTCATTCTTGCTGGTGTGGGTGATGGTGATACAATTTCCCAGCAGCTGTATGGCATGCATGACTACATCTTCTGAATTTCCTGAGAAACCCAAGTCAAAATCACGAGCCAGGACTTCCTCTTTCATCACAAAGAAGTCTTCCACCAATGTGGAGAGGTCAATTCCCTATAAAAACAGACAGAAGTGGTCTCATGAGAACACAAAACCCAGTTTCAAAAGACGGAGAGACTGCCCCAAGGATTTTTCTTTCCCCCTTGACTTGGCTTTCCTGAAGTTTGCTGTCAGAAAAAAACAAAAAAAAGTCAGAACACCAGTGTAGAAAAAGTTGGAAAAGTGGTTAAAAAGCTGTCCCCCAGGAACGCCAAGGTATTTCATGTCCAGAGCATACTCTAGCCACAAAACATGATGTGAGCATGTAAGATCCCAAATGGAAGAAGCCACCGTCTGAAAAGAAGCAGTACTTATTTTTTAGCAAGAATTTCTCAAATTTCTTAGCTGGTATTTATATATTGGCACTACATTTGGTGTTCAGAACATGACTGTGACAGAGACAGTCTTTCCCATCACAGGGATTAGACAAGTGTATTGTAGGAAGGCAGAGCACAAGTCCTAAATACAAGCCAAATAGCTTAGAAACCATCAGCAATCAGAATACTTTCTATGTGTCGATAGACATGTCTTATTTCCATTAACTGTATTCCTCAAAGAATGCCTTACTGTCTGATAAAACAGTCCCTGAGGCTGTTTTCATATAGATGTCTTCCTCCACGGGGTTCTAAGCCCCTGTGGGCAGAGTCCTTAGATTATTTTACTGTTCACCCTGGTGGCTCAGACGGTAAAGAATCCGCCTGCAATGCAGGAGACCTGGGTTTGATCCCTGGGTTGGGAAGATTCCCCTGGAGAAGGGAATGGCTACCCACTCCAGGATTCTTGCCTGGAGAATTCCATGGACAGAGGAGCCTGGCAGGTTACAGTCCATGGGGTCGCAAAAAGTCGGCCACGACGGAGCCACTGTCACTCACAGGACTAGCTGGAAGGGAACCAAATCTATCAGTGAAGAAGCATCTGAAAAGCTGCCGAAGCATCTCCCTGCTTTCTGCTGAGCTCCAGTGGCACTGCAGACATACCTGCCTGTGTCTGTAGAGAAGCAGGCAGGCCACGATGTGTGTTGACATAATAGCACAGGACTTGCTAGCAGCTGGAAGGCAAACACAAATCTTTAGTTGCACTTTTTTAATATAGCTCAAACTTTTTAAAAGTACCTAAATCTTTAAAAAAAAAAAAAAAAGGTATCTTAATTAGGAGCATTTAAAACTATTAAAGTCCTCTACCGTATTTCTTATACCTGATTCACCAAAGGGAAATCACAATTTGCTCTGGACCAGTGGAAACTCATTAGAGATCATTGCTCACATAACAGAATTCAGTCTAAGACAGGTCTACCCTCAACCCAGAAATCGATTTTAACTTCCTCTTTTCAACCTGGCCCAGAGGCAGGTCAGAGACACGAAGGAAGGGGACAAACATACCCTGAGAATGACTAGAGTCCATAACTCAATACTCCAAATTTGTAGAAATTTACAATCATATAAATCAAATATGAGAACATCTATGGAATAATCTAAGATAAGACACCATTTGTGGGTTTTCTGAGATGATAATGAATTCAGGAATACTTCACTCATAATTAATGTTATCTCCAGTGTTTAAGAAACAAAAAAGTCCCCAGTACCATACATATTTGGCCTTTAAAAAGAATATTTAAAAAGCTTTCATAATGCTTATTTTATAAATGGAAAACAGCAGAAAACTGCAAAAAAAAAAATATTTTTATAGACTAGACAGCAACCCATCTGGTCATCTGGGTAGCGGGTTTTATCTTTACTTTCCAGTTTTTCAACATTTAAGGATGTATTATTTTCAGCATCCAGGATTTAAACAGACTCCATCAGACATCGTCAGAAAAGAAGATCTCGGCCCAGCATAAAGCAGTAGTGGCAGCAGCTAGACAGAAAGGAGCAAGATGAGGTGAGGATGCCCTCACACTGACAGGAAGTGTGGAGGGCCTAATCTGATGGGGAGGAGGCACAGTGAAGGGCGAAGAAATCCCAAGCTATTGTGCTTCCGATCTTAAAGCAGCCTCTACAACATAATAACAATGCTGCCATTTGCAACTTCAGGATGGCTAATTCTGCATGTAACTTGCTCCACTCTAATTCACTCCCACTTGCATTATTAGTGTACAACCACCCCACTGAGAAGAGCAGAACCTCTTTAGGTACAGAGCCAATGACTCAGTGTGTAGTCCCCACAGCCAGAATAAAGCTTTACATGCAAAAGACACACAATATTTACCAAATAAAAAGGATCACGAGGTCACAAGGGAAAGGGACATGCAACCATAAACCTAGAAGCTGTACCACAAATGGGTTCAAAGAGACTAATTCATGAGCACTATTAATTATTAGGTACTGTGTGAGATGTGAGATGTTTCATTCAGTTATCTCAAATCCTCTCAGCATGATCTTCCTTCTCATAACTTACTTAGTACCCCCTGCGTGTTAGTTCTAAAACCAGAAGTAGAATCTAACTTTGGCAGATTCCAAAACCTTGTATGGTTCACACTGCATCACACTGAATCTGAATTTTGGAATAAAAGAGTGGAATTCTACTTACTGAAAAGAATGTGGTCAGCCAGATGTGCAATCAGTCTTCTTCGGCAGGATTCATCTGTTGCATTTCTGGATTCGTTAATGGACGTGTCTGTGCCTTCATCAGCAGCATCACTGGGTCTAAAAAGTTTGGTTTTTTTTTAATTAGACTTCTATAACCCCAATCTTTCACAAAGCAAGTGACATGAGATACAAATGTATTAGATACTTTAAATTACTACATATTCTAAATTTAAACCACAAATAGATTATTACTATGAGTCGTTTTACTCCAAAATATACTTCATTATGGGCTTCCCTGGTGGCTCAGATGGTAAAGAATCTGCCTGCTACACAGGAGATCAGGGTTCATTCAATCCCTGGGTCAGGAAGATCCTCTGGAGAAGGGAATGGCTATCCACTCCAGTATTCTTGCCTGGAGAATTTCATGGACAGAGGAGCCTGATGGGCTACAGTCCATGGGGTCACAAACAGTTGGACACATCTGAGTAACTAACACACACATACCTCATTATATTTAAGACACTCTCCTGAACACAACATGTTATTTATTTATGACTAAGTAATCTGTTGGTACATCACTTTCAGAACTCACTGGCAGAAAGAATGCATAAAACACGATGCTCCATTTTAAAACCGTTTCAAAAATTCAACATTTGAACAAATAAAAAGAAAGGCTTAATATTTCTCTAAGTGACCATTTGATTTGAATTCTGGAAAATTCACATAAGAAACTCTTACATGTTACATGAATGTGCAATATGCATAGGCTAAACTACTACCAAAAAGAACATTTCAAGTATTCAAAAGCAGAAATCAAATAAGAACTCATATATGATTCACAAAATCAGAAAGATTTTAAGATCCAAATAATCAAAAACCTTCAAACTAATACACAAACACATTATTTCAAGATCCTTTACTAGACCAAGAGAAAAATTCCTCAAGTGAGGAAGTAAAAACAAGAATATGAATGTCCTTAACAAAGCTAGCCAATTTTTCCCATGCAATATAAGAAATCCGTGTGTGCTGAGTCACTTCAGTCATTCCGACCTCACTGCGACCCTATGGACGTTGTAGCCTGCCAGGCTCCTCTGTCCTGGGATTCTCCAGGCAAGAATACGGGCATGGGCTGCTGTGCTCCTTTCCAGGGGATCTTCCTGACCCAGGGATGGAACCAGTATCTCTTATGTCTCCTGCATTGGCAGGCAGGCTCTTTACCATTGGCTCCACCTGGGAAGCCCAATATAAGAAATAACAGATATTCAGTATAAAAAACTTCCATAAATCTTCAGTTCAGTTCATTTCAGTCACTCAGTCCTGTCCAACTCTTTGCGACCCCATGAAATGCAGTGTGCCAGGCCTCCCTGTCCATCACAACTCAGGGAGTTTACTCAAACTCATGTCCAGTGAGTCAGTGATGCCATCCAACCATCTCATCTTCTGTTGTCCCCTTCTCCCGCCTTCAATCTTTCCTAACATCAGGGTATTTTCAAAATGAGTCAGTTCTTCACATCAGGTGGCCAAAGTATTGCAGTTTCAGTTTCCGCATCAGTCCTTTCAATGAATATTCAGGACTGATTTCCTTTAGGATGGACTGGTTGGATCTCCTTGCAGTCCAGGGGACTCTCAAGAGTCTTCTCCAACACCACAGTTCAAAAGCATCAACTCTTCAGTGCTCAGCTTTCTTTATAGTCCAACTCTCATATCCATACATGACTACTGGAAAAACCATAGCCTTGACTAGATGGACCTTTCTTGTCAAAGTAATGTCTCTGCTTTTTAAAAGGCTGTCTGTGCTGGTCATTACTTTTCTTCCAAGGAGTAAGCATCTTTTAATGTCATGGCTGCAATCACCATCTGCAGTGATTTTGGAGTCCAAGAAAATAAAGTCTGACACTGTTTCCACTGTTTCCCCATCTATTTGCCATGAAGTGATGGGACCAGATGCCATGATCTTAGTTTTCTGAATGCTGAGTTTTAAGCCAACTTTTTCACTTTCCTCTTTCACTTTCATCAAGAGGCTTTTTAGTTCCTCTTCACTTTCTGCCATAAGGGTGGTGTCATCTGCATATCTGAGGTTATTGAGATTTCTCCCAGCAATCTTGATTCCCACTTGTACTTCTTCCAGCCCAGCGTTTCTCATGGTGTACTCTGCATGTAAGTTAAATAAGCACAATGACAATATACAGCCTTTAATGTACTCCTTTTCCTATTTGGAACCAGTCTGTTGTTCCATGTCCAGTTCTAACTGTTGCTTCCTGACCTGCATACAGATTTCTCAAGAGGCAGGTCAGGTGGTCTGGTATTCCCATCTCTTTCAGAATTTTCTACAGTTTGTTGTGATCCACACAGTCAAAGGCTTTGGCATATTCAACAAAGCAGAAATAGATGTTTTTCTGGAACTCTCTTGCTTTTTCAATGATTCGGCAGATGTTGGCAATTTGATCTCTGGTTCCTCTGCCTTTTCTAAATCCAGCTTGTACATCTGGAAGTTCATGGTTCACGTACTACAGAAGCCTGGCTTGGAGAATTTTGAGCATTACTTTACTAGTGTGTGAGATGAGTGCAATTATGCAGTAGTTTGAGCATTCTTTGTCATTGCCTTTCTTTGGGACTGGAATGAAAACTGACCTTTTCCAGTCCTGAGGCCACTGTTGAGTTTTCCAAATTTGCTGGCATACTGGGTGCAGCACTTTCACAGCATCATCTTTTAGGATTTGAAATAGCTCAGCTGAAATTCCATTGCCTCCACTAGCTTTGTTCATAGTGCTGCTTCCTAAGGTCCACTTGATTTTGCATTCCAGTATATCTGGCTCTAGGTGACTGATCACACCATCATGATTATCTGGGTCATGAAGATCTTTTTTGTAAAGTTCTTCTGTGTATTTTTGCCACCACTTCTTAATAGCTTCTGCTTCTCTTAGGTCCATATCATTTCTGTCCTTTATTGTGCCCATCTTTGCATGAATTATTCCCTTGGTATCTCTAATTTTCTTGAAGAGATCTCTCATCTTTCCCACTCTATTGTTTTCCTCTGTTTCTTTGCATTGATCACTGAGGAAGGCTTTCTTATCTCTCCTTGCTATTCTTCGGAACTCTGCATTCAAATGGGTATATCTTTCCTTTTCTCCTTTGCTTTTAGCTTCTCTTCTTTTCACAGCTATTTGTAAGGCCTCGTCAGACAACCGTTTTGCCTTTCTGCATTTCTTTTTCTTGGGGATGGTCTTGATAGTGTCTCCTGTACAATGTCACAAACCTCCATCCATAGTTCATCAGGTACTCTATCAGATGTAGTTCCTTGAATCTATTTCTCACTTCCACTGTATCATCATAAGGGATTTGATTTAGGTCATACCTGAATGGTCTAGTGGCTTTCCCTACTTTCTTTAATTTAAGTCTGAATTTGGCAATACGGAGTTCATGATCTGAGCCACAGTCAGCTCCCAGTCTTGTTTTTGCTGACTGTATAGAGCTTCTCCATCTTTGGCTGCAAAGAATATAATCAATCTGATTTTGGTACTGACCATCTGGTGATAAATCTTACCTTGAGGGAAGTATAGCTGGCAACAATGCTTGCTCCAAAGAAAGTGGAGCAGAAACAGGTTTCTGACTTTGGGTTTCTAAATATTCCTGGAAAAATCAAACACAATCAATTACTCCCACTGTCTCACTTCCAGAAACATGTATAAAATATAATTTCATCTTCAAAAAGTAAAAAGGGAGTTTTTAATAAAATGAGCCATACTATTGATATATAACATGAGAAATACTTTCTATAGCCTAAACTATCTTCAGAAGTGCAGAATGACTCATAGAATGTTGTTAAGCATGAAATCTAAGAACCGAAGCTCCAAAGACAGGATGACAGTTAAGTAAAATCATTTAAAAATTAAGGGCAAAATTTAACTTTTCTCACATCTTCATGAAATTAGTTGGCATTCCCAATATTATTAACAGTGATAATTGACCAACCATACCCTTTTCAAGGCAATCTGATAACCCGAAGATCATATTATATTCAAAAGAATCTCAATTCAAAAGCAAAAACAAGAGAAGTTCCGCAGTATTAAAAAAAAAAAAAGTGGTAAGAAATGACAAGGTCCCTAACCAGAAAGCATATAGCATAGCAGTCAGACTTCCTTAAAATAAAACCAAGAAGCGTAACAGAAGGAGAGGCAGGATCTCTGTGCCTTATCGTTGAGTTCCCAACTCCCCATCCTTCTCTTTCTCCTTTGCCAATTTGAAAATCTTAAGAATTTAAAACTACAGAACCTCAGAGACCCACCAGTCCCAGGCTTCTCCGTGAGGATGGCACTCTTGCTCTGAATATGTGGGTATTAGACTCCATTCGGTAGAACAGAGCATCACCCTGGACCATCAGTGTTACCCAGCTGTGAGACATGTTTTTAAAAATGTCTCCTAGAGGCAATTTTAAAACGTAACATACAAAATATTGATATATATAAAGCAATATGCAAAATTCTCATGAATTATAAAAGGCAGCAAAAAATTATGAAACTGGTATTTCCCAAAGACAGACATTTAGTCTCCTCTGTCCACAGGCACATTTTAGTGGAAAAATTCAGGAAACACTACTCTTGTCAGAGTCCTGTCCTACAAGAGAAGAAACTGAGGCTGTGAGTCACACGGAGAAGGGGTATCAGAGGCTGGTCTGGAGCCCAGATCTTCTGACACTGAGCCAGACCAATGATGCCACACGGCTTCATCTCAAAAGACACTCACCTTTAAGGAAAATGGTTGTGCAAAATCCACTCTGACACATCCGTAGTTTTTTCGTAACATTCTGATGACACCTCTTGCTATGCTCCAGAGGCTCTCATTCTTCTTGGGTTTTCCCTAGTTTGCAATTTTGAAAGAATAGTATGGTAAGCAGTAAAGCTAACAAATACGCAAATATTATTATCCAAAGATAAAGTTTATGAATTTTTTTTTATGGAAACTGAAGGTTTGTCTGGAAAAATAATGAATGAAGGAGGAAAATACATATCCATTTGCTGAGACCTGCCAGAAAATGCTGAGCACTCAAAGATGCTAAAAGATGTAATGATATCACTGGGAAGGTAATTTGGCCAATGAAAAAGGAAACATTTAACACAACTTCTTTTAATGCATCGTTTACAGCATTTACAAAAATACAACTGCAAACTAATGAAAGATAAAGATGACATAATAGCCTGAAAATCTGTTCTGCGGTTCTCAGATAAAAACAAAGAGGCCACCCTATTGTGATCTGATGATCATGATGGTCCAAATACATAACATTAAGCAACCAAACACCAAATTCAGCCCTGGCCTGTAAGCCAACTGTTCATTCAGTAAGTGTTTCCTGAATACTTAACATGCATAAGACACAATGACAGCTGTAGAATGGACACAGGGCTCAGATATGACATCATGAGACTCCATCAGGGTGAGGGAGCATATGTTCAGGATAGACACAAGCAACACAAGGAGGGGGTCTCACAAGAGAGATACAGATAATTATCCAGGTCTATCTCTTTATTTTTTATTAGAAGTATTTGAGTTTCCCGTATGTTTTGAACAATAAGCTTGAAATAAGTACCATGACCAGGACATCCACACTAAGTAAGAACAAAACTAAATCCCTCTGGAACTTGCACACTGCTGGGAGGAACAGTAAGTTGGTAAAACCATTCTGGAAAACTGGCAGCATCTACAAAACTGAATATACCTATGCTTTATGATCCATCAATTCCATTCCTAGGTATATACTCAACAAAATGCATACATATGGTCATCAAGAGAGAGGTTTAAGAATGATCACAGCCCAAACCAGGAAACCAAACTTTTTTTTCAACAGTAGAATAGACAAATTGTATACTCATACACTGCAATATTACACAGCTATGACAATGAACAAATTCTAACTATCCTAATAAGTTGTTGCTTGAGCAAAGGAAACCAGAGACAAGAAGTCCACATGCTACATAGCTCCGTTTATATAATGATCAAAAACAGGCAAGCCAATCTATTCTGTAAGAAGTAAAGATAACCGGCTACCCATGAGGGGACAGCAATGAGAGAATGGATAAGGGGGGTTTCTAGGGTCCTCGACTTCAGTGTGATGATGTAGGTGTGTTCACTTTGTGCTAATTCAAGCTACATGCATATGATGGATGCATTCTTTCGTAACTGTTCAATAGAAAGTTCAATAAAAAAAATTGCTGCCACTTATCAAAATAACTTGTAGCTGCTTTGCCAACATGATCCCACCAATTCTTCAGGTTAAACTTAAAACTCTACACATAAACAATAAGCCCTGACTAGACCAAGCCACGTATACCCTTCCCAGGGCAAAGATGGTAACTCAGTATCAAGTATTCTTTCATTTCCCAACTCTATGACTAAGGCTGGTGTTGATTAATCTAATCATGGCAATTCCTCCAAGTGCAGGAAGACACGTTAGCACTACCAATCAGGCTGCCATAGAAGATGAAAGCCCAGCCTACCATGTGTTGTAAAATTAGAGAGTACCAAGAACATTCTCAACTAATTCTAAAAGCACTTATCTAAAAGCAAAAGGCTAAAAAAGCAAAGATGACTTTTGTGCAGGTGGTCTTCTTACCAGTTGTTCACCATTGTAATGACCCTCAATAATACGATCGTAGGAGATCCCAACAGGTATTATCAAGATGTCTGGGATGGTATTGGTAGACAGAGTATCTACCACAACTGACAAAAGTCCTGCCCGAGCACAGGAAATTTTTCCACTTCTTGAGCGTGTGCCTTCCAGAAAAATCTCCAAGAACTGCTGCTGTCGAAGTAGTTCAACTATATGCTGGAATGTAAGAAGAAAGGAAAAAACGAACTCATGAACTTAGAAAAAGCTCAGCAAAGTTAAATCTTAAAAACAGCAAATCCTTAAAATTTCACTGCAGACCAAATATTTTGCACAATTAATAGCAAAAGAGCACCTACAATGTTATATTTTGATGATAACAAAAAATAATCAGCAAACTCATACCCAAGCAATAATCACTGAAATAATTACTCAGACAATGGTTTTTTAAAAATCTCAATCAATCTCTCTTTCTTCTACTGTAATCGCTACCATAACAACTTGAAGGATAATTAGAGATCACACATACCCCACGGAGCAAAGCTCTATAGAGTATATCTTTCCGTCCATCTGGTGTCTCATCTAGCCTCCGTCGTATGAAGAAGCCTCCAAGCTTATGGATCAAAGTACTATAAATTTAAGAATGCATTAATTTAAAAATACTGTAAAAAGAAGACTCAAATTCCAGCATGGATATAAGCCACAGGTATTCTTTGAGCTGCTGATTATGAAAATGTGGACACTGTCCACATAGTTGACCAATTTCTCTCATTTACATTATGCATGAGCTTTCAGAATGTCACTGTGTATAATGACGCTCTGCTATATCTGTTATATGCCAAAAGGAGTTTCCATGATACATTACCCTGCAGAGGTGCTGGTACAGATTTTAAGAGGATTATAAAATACTGCTCAATTTTAAAACCCTGTCCAGGGTCTCAAGACACTGATCTTTCAGGTCAGTTCAGTTCAGTTGCTCAGTTGTGTCCAACTCTTTGTGACCCCATAAATCGCAGCACTCCAGGCCTCCCTGTCCATCACCAACTCCTAGAGTTTACTCAAACTCATGTCCATCGAGTTGGTGATGCCATCCAGCCATCTCATCCTCTGTCGTCCCCTTCTCCTCCTGCCCCCAATCCCTCCCAGCATCAGGGTCTTTTTCAATGAGTCAACTCATAGACATTCCCAAATTTTCCTATGGTATATTCACTTCAAGATGAATGTGATATTACAAAAGCTCCTTTGGGGATATTTTCTCAAATAAGTTATTTCTTAGAGAGTATCCCAGTGAGATAACGATAAGTTTATCAAACTAGAACCAAGCATAACCATCCTCTCAAAGCATGAAATAAAAATTTCATGCATAAATTTCATTTATGCATACATAGAATAAACAATTCTTACAACCCCACATCTCTGCCTACCAAATTGATTAATTATTTTGATAGTAGGCTGAAATTTTCCAATACTTGTCAACCTTTCCAATCTCAGATCCTCTTCCTCTGTTCAAATAGTGTGATATTAATATAAGTATTAATATACAGTTTTGGCACCTTCTATAGTCAGCATAAGGAAGACAGTAAGATATCCCTGGAATTTAACATCTTTGACAGTTAACTTAACTCTCTGAAAGTTAAACTTTGCAGAACAAATTCTTAAGGAGATGAACCATCCACAAAAATAACCCATCCTGAAAAGTGGTTTGTGACTGTACAGGCTGACATGTAACAAAAAGAACACTGCAAATAAACAGGTAGGATTATTTAGAGTCTGTCATAGCTGAAGGAATGATAAGCTAACTGGCACAAAGGTCATGAAAAGGGAAGAAATTATCAGTGTTTATTAAGCAATTCCCAGAGATCTCCCTTGAGAACCAATCCAACATGGAGGGAATGAGTACATAAGTTGTTCTGATTATAGAAGAGGCAAACTATTATGGGCAAGGCTTCTCTAGAGCCCAGGTGAAACAGCCCTCCTCATGCTCAGTCTATGCCTAAACACTTCTTTGAAAAAGTGAGGGAAATTCGCTCAATCATATCCAACTCTTTGTGACCCCATGGACTATACAGTCCATGGAATTCTCCAGGCCAGAATACTGGAGTGGGTAGCCTTTCCTTTCTCCAGGGGATCTTCCCAATCCAGGGATTGAACCCAGGTCTCCCGCATCGTGGGCTGATTCTTGACCAGCTAAGCCATAAGGGAAGCCCCAGAATACTGGAGTGGGGAGTCTATCCCTTCTCCGGTGGATCTTCCCAACCCAGGAATCTAACCAAGGTCTCCTGCATTGCAAGCAGATTCTTTACCAACTGAGTTATCAGGGAAGCTCCCTTTCAAAAAAGAAACATTTTTTTGATGACTTTCTAATCCAGATTTCCAGGTTCCTTGATACTGGGAAGAGGTACCCATGAGAAAAGGCATAGATATTCTGATCTTTGGAAAAGCATATTTGGAAAAGTCTGTAGCATCGTATCACAGTGGATTAGAGTTAGCTGTTTGTCTATATTCCCCACTGTTTCATATGAACTATTTGAAAGCAAGAACTGTATGTCTTGTTCACCCTTGCCTGGAGCACATGTCGGCAAGTATTGGCTGACTGCATGTATGAATGGCTTCTCTTCACTCACGTGAGTCAGATCAGCTACAGAACTCTGAACCAAGGGATTAGGAAGGAACTCCTTAGACTGTGCGGCTGAGGATCAGACTCCCCGGCATGCAAAGCAGTGACCGCCCCCTTGCGAGGCCCTGCCTGAACGACCCGCCAGCCTCCTCCCCTCGGGTCACTCTCCACACTCATCCTCCTCACTTCATTCCTCACACAGCTGACCTGAGCGATGCTCTGTGCTCTGAAGTTTGAGACTAAACACTTCTCAAATCTACGACCGCTTCTCTGAGAGAACTATTATACCTTTCTTTAAGCCTTCATCATCTTTTGTCTAAACTGACACAGTCAGAATTGATCTAAGTGTTAGTTGCTGAGTCTTTTTTGTACTTTCCAAATTTTCCACAATAAACATGCATTCTTTTAAAACAAAGCTAAAAATCCTAGTGTCCTCGTTACAATAAAATCTAAAGTTATAATAAAAACATAAAAATTCAAAACATAATCTTCATACCTTAACTTTCAATAAGGTAATCTTACCTGAAGATAGGGATGTTGAGGTTATTGCCTGAAGCAATGTACGGCGCTTTGATGTTATGGCAGAAGAGAATGAAAGTGAGCAGGAGATAGTCAATGTGTGATCTATGAACTGGCAGAAATATAAGCGGCAAATTCATCTAGCAAAAGGAAAAATGCCAAATTTAAAATTCAAATGGAAAGTTGAATTACAGTTCGAACATTTGGTTAGAATCATTCAAACACTAGCTAATTAGCAACTCATTCTATAAAAACATTTTTCCGGAAATAAGAATGGCAATTAATATTTCAATTATATATTACCTAGCTAGTAACAACTGCAACAACAAAAAATAATCAGGGAAGGAAGAGAGCAATCTACAGTTCAAGGTGACGCCATCATATATCTTCTGAGAGGAAGCCCTAATTATATAAAAAGAATGTAGGTTTTGGACACAAAGTTGTTTGGTTTGAAATTCTAGAGAAACAACCTATTGGCCATAACTTGGGACAGTTTTTTAATCTATACGTGCCTTTATTTCCTCATTTATAAAATAAAGATTGTTTTATTTGACTTTCAGAATTATTGCAAGGTAACTTACAGAAGGAATCCTACATATTGCTGATAGGTCCTTCTTTATGCCACTTGTCCCCCCAGATACAAAGCTACTGTAGTTATCTCACATGGGGAAAACTTGCAAATGTGTGGGACTGCACAAGAGTATACAAAAAAAATTCCCAAAAGAATTCCAAAATCACTCTGCAAAATGTAGAGAAAAAAGAATGACAGGTTCACATAATTCTTGCCTCAGTTGCAGCTTTAACCATCTCAAGTTGACCCTTGTGAATCTGAATATTCCAAAAGAAGCTGTTGAACAGTTTCAGCAGCACCCATCCAGTCAGTCTGAAAGGAAGTTTAAAAAGTTTTTTAATGTATACACATATTTATATATATACACATACATAGTTTGACAGCTATCTACCTAAACTTTTGAACCTAAAACCTAAGAGTGATTGTAACTGACTTCATGTTATGAGCATATGTGCGTGTATATGTGTGAATGTGTACATCTGAATTGTGGACTTAAAGAACTGATTTTACATATGCACTACTCATAGATGCATCCATTTATCATGTACTAAAATCTCATATTTTACTCTACTTGCATACTTTAAACTTCAGAAGCTATATAGTCAAGCAAATAGTTAGGTGAGCAGAGTAATCCCATTACTGAACACAAATCACTCCCTTTAAGACATAAGCATGTGCAGATTCATCAAGAAAAAAAGAGTGTGGGCTCAAATAAATAAAATTAGAAATAAAAAAGGAGAAGTTACAATCAACACTACAGAAATACAAAGGTCATATGAGATCACTACAAACAATTATACCCAAATACTGACAAAATGGACAACCTAGAAGAAATGGACAAACTCCTAGAAATGTACAATCTCCCAAGACTGAACCAGGAAGAAATAGAAAATATGAACAGACCAACTACCAGTAATGAAACGTAGTCAGTAATAAAAAAAAATTTCCAGCAAACAAAAGTCCAGGACCAGGTGGCTTCACAGGTGAATTCTGCCGAACATTTGTAGAAGAGTTAACACAAATCTTTCTCAAACCATGCCAACAAATTGCAGAGGAAGGAACACTTCTGATTCTGCCCATCCTAAGAGGACAGCATCACCCTGATAGCAACACCAAAGACATCACAAAAAAAGAAACTCACAGGCCGGTATCACTGATGAACTAGATGCAAAAATCCACAACAAAATATTAGCAAAAACCAATTCAACAATACAGTACATTAAAAGCATTATATACCATGAAAAGCAGAATTTATCCCAGGATACAAGAATGATTCAACATCTGTAGAATTAATGTGATACATCACATTAACAAATTGAAGAATTAAAAAACTATATGATCATCTAAACAGATGCAGAAAAAGTTCCTGACAAAATCCAACATGCATTTATAATTTAAAACTTTCAACAAAGTGAATACACAGGGAACATACCTAAACATAAGAAAGGCCATAAATGACAAGCCCGTGGCTTACATCAGACTCAACGGTGAAAAGTTGAAAGCATTTTCTCTAAGATCAGGAACATAACAAGAATGTAGTCTCCTGCCACTTTAATTCGACACAGTATTGAAAGTCCTGGCCATAGCAATCAGAAAAGAAAAAGGTGTGAAGAAATCCACAGAGGAGGGAGCTAAGACGGTGGAGGAAGAGGACGGGGAGACCACTTTCTCCCCCACAAATTCATCAAAAGAAATCCAAAGTGATGAGAGATCCTTGATGAAGGTGGAAGAAGAGAGTGAAAAAGCTGGCTTAAAACTCAACAATCAAAAAACGAAGATCACAGCACCTGGTCCCATCACTTTATGGCAAATAGATGGGAAAACAATCAAAACAGTGACAGACTTAATTTTCTTGGGCTCCAAAATCACTGCAGATGGTGACTGCAGACATGAAATTAAAAGATGCTTGCTCTTTGGAAGAAAAGCTATGACCAACATAGACAGCACATTAAAAAGAAGAAACATCACTTTGCTGACAAAGGTCCATCTAGTCAATGAACAGTATCAAAAGGTAAAAAGATGTGACACTGAAAGATGAACTCCCCAGTTCAGTAGGTGCCCAATATGCTACAGGAGAAGAGTGGAGAAATAGCTCCAGAAAGAATGAAGAGGCTGAACCAAGGCAAAAACAACACCCAGCTGTGGGTGTGACTGGTGGTGGAAGTAAAGTCCAATGCTGTAGAGAAAACACTGCATAGGAACCTGGAATGTTAGGTCCGTGAGTCAAGGTAAATTGGAAGTGGTCAAACGGGAGATGGCAAGAGTGAACATCAACATTTTAGTAGTCAGTTAACTAGACCAGGAGCTGACTGTGGCTCAGATCATGAACTCCTTATTGCCAAATTCAGACTTAAATTGAAGAAAGTAGGGAAAACCACTAGACCATGCAGGTATGACCTAAATCAAATCCCTTACAATGATACAGTGGAAGTGAGAAGTAGATTTAAAGGATCAGATCTGATAGATAGAGTGCCTGAAGAACTAAGGATGGAGGCTCGTAACATTGTACAGGAATTAGTGATCAAGACCATCCCCAAGAAAAAGAAATGCAGAAAGGCAAAACGGTTATCTGACGAGGCCTTACAAATAGCTGTGAAAAGAAGAGAGGCTAAAGGCAAGGGAGAAAAGGAAAGATATACCCATATGAATGCAGAGTTCAAAAGAATAGCCAGGAGAGATAAGAAAGTCTTCCTCAGTGATCAATGCAAAGCAACAGATGAAAACAATAGAATGGCAAAGACTAGAGATCTCTTCAAGAAAATTAGAGATACCAAGGGAACATTTCATACAAAGAATGAGCACAATAAAGGACAGAAATGATATGGACCTAACGGAAGCAGAAGATATTAAGAAGTGGTGGTAAGAATACATAAAGTGAAAGTGAAGTCGCTCAGTCGTGTCCGACTCTTTGCGACCCCATGGACTGTAGCCTACCAGGCTCTTCCATCCATGGGATTTTCCAGGCAAGAGTACTGGAGTGGGTTGCCATTTCCTTCTCCAAAGAATACATAGAAGAACTATACAAAAACAATCTTCATGACCCAGATAACCACAATGGTGTGATCTCTCACCTAGAGCCAGACATCCTGGAATGCAAAGTCAAGTGGGCCTTAGGAAGCATCACTATGAACAAAGCTAGTGGAGGTGATGGAATTCCAGATGAGCTATTTCAAATCCTAAAAGATGATGCTGTGAAAGTGCTGAACTCAATATGCCAGCAAATTTGGAAACCTCAGCAGTGGCCCAGGACTGGAAAAAGTCAGTTTTCATCCCAATCCCAAAGAAAGGCAATGCCAAAGAATGTTCAAACTACAGAACAACTGCACTCATTTCACATGCTAGCAAAGTAATGCTCAATATTCCTCAAGCGAAGCTTCAACAGTATGTGAACTGAGAACTTTCAGATGTTCAAGCTGGATGTAGAAAAGGTAGAGGAAAGTGAAAGTCATTCAGTCATGTCTGACTCTTTGTGACCCCATGGACTGTAGCCCGACAGGGACCTCTGTCCATGGAATTCTCGAGGCAAGAATACTAGAATGGACGGCCATTCCCTTCTCCAGGTGATCTTCCTGACTCAGGGACTGGACCTCAGTCTCCTGCATTGCAGGAGGATTCTTTACCATCCGAGCTACCAGGGAAGCCCAGAGCCAGAGGGAAAGAGATCAAATTGCCCACATCCACTGTATTGTAGAAAGAGTAAGAGAGCTCCAGAAAAATATCTTCTTCTGCTTCACTGACTACATCAGGCCTTTGACTGCATGGATCACAACAAACTGTGGAAAATTCTTCAAGAGATGGGAACACCAGACCTCCTTACCTGACTCCTGAGAAATCTGTATACAGGTCAAGAAGCAACAGTTAGAAAAGGACATGGAACAACAGATTGATTCCATATTAGGAAAGGAGTACGTCAAGTCTGTATACTGTCACCTTGCTTATTTAATTTATATGTAGAGTACATCATGTGAAATGTCAGGCTGGATGAAGCACAAGCTGAAATCAAGACTGCCAGGAGAAATCTCAATAACCTCTAGATATGCAGAAGATACCATCCTTATGGCAGAAAGCGAAGAGGAATTAAAGAGCCTCTTGATGAATGTGAAAGAGGACAGTGAAAAAGGTGGATTAAAACTCAACAATCAGAAAACAAAGATCATGGCATCTGGTCCCAACACTTCATGGCAAATAGATGGGGAAACAATGGAAACAGTGACAGACTTTATTTTCTTGGGCTCCAAAATCACTGCAGATGGTGACTACAGCCATGAAATTAAGATGCTTGCTCCTTGGAAGAAAAGCTATGACCAACCTAGGCATCATATTAAAAAGCAGAGACATCACTTTGCCAACAAAGATCCATATAGTCAAAGATATGATTTTTCCAGTAATCATGTATGGATGTGAGAGTTGGACCATGAAGAAGGCTGAGTGCTGAAGAATCAATGGTTTCAAACTGTGATGCTGGAGAATATTTTTGAGAGTCCCTTGGACTGCAAGGAGATCAAATCTGTCAATCCTAAAGGAAACCAACCCTGAGTATTCATTGGAAGGACTGATGCTGAAGCTGAAGCTGAAACTCCAATACTTTGGCCACATGATGTGAAGAGCAAACTCAGTGGTAAAAGCCCTGATGCCGGGAGAGATCAAAGGCAGGAGCAGAAGGGGTGATAGAGGATGAGATGGTTGAATGGCATCTTGGGCTCAATGGACAGTGTGAACAAACCCTGAGAGATAATGAAGAACAGGGAAGCCTGCATGCTCTAGTCCATGGGGTCAAGAAGAGTCGGACACAACTGAGCAAGTGAATAACAACAAAAAGTGAAAAGGAAGAAGTGAAACCATTACTGTGTACAGATGACAAGACACTAGGGAAATCCTAAAGCCATCCAAAAACTATCAGAACTCATCGATGAATTTGGTAAAACTGCAGAATACAAAATTAATATGCAGAAATCAGGTGCATTTCTATACACTAACAACAGACTAACTGAATGGAAATTAAGAAAACAATCTCACTTACAAATGCATCAGAAAGAATAAAATACCTAGGAATAAATCTAACTAAACAAGTAAAATACCATACTTGGAAATATGTAAGACACTCATGAAAGAAATTGAATATGATACAAGTAGATGGAAAGATACACTGTGTTTATGGATTGAAAGAATTAATATTGTTAAAATGACCATATATCCAAGGCAATCTACAGATTCAATGCAATCCCTATCAAAATGCCAAAGGCATTTTTCACAGAACTAGAATAAACAATTCTAAAATTTGTATGGAAACACATCTGAAATAGCCAAAACAATCTTAAGAAAAATGAAAGTGGAAGCATCACACTCCCTGATTTCAAACTATCCCATAAAGTTACGGTAATAAAGATAGATAGATGTACTGGCACAAAAACAGATACATAGATCAATGGAACAAAGAACCCAGAAAGAAACTCAAACTTCTATGGGCAACCAATCTATAACAATGGAGGCAAGTATGTACAATGGGGGAAAGAGTCTCTATAATGATTGATGCTGGGAAAACTGGACAACTACATGCAAAAAAAAAAAAATCAAACTGGACTACTCTTTCACACCATGCTCAAAAATAAATTCAAAATGGATTAAAGACTGAAATCTAAGACCTGAAACCATAAAACTTCTAGAAGAAAATATAAGCAATATACACTTTGCAATCAGTCTTAGTAATATTTTTTTGGATACGTCTCTTCAGGCAAGGGAAATAAAAGCAAAAATAAAGAAATGGAATTACATCAAATTAAAAATCTTTTGCAGAGTGAAAAAACTCTCAGCAAAACAAAAAGGCCACCTATTAATGGGCAAAGATAATTGCAAAAGATATATGTGACAACGGGTTAATACCTAAATATACAAAAATCTCAAACAAGACAACAAAAAACAATCCACTTAAAAAATGGGCAGAAGATCTGAACAGACATTTTTTCCAAAGATACACAGATGGCCACAGGCACATGAAAAGATGCTCAACAGTACAAATCATTGGGAGTATACCAATCAAAACAATAATGGGTTATCACCTCACCCGTCAAAATGGCTGTTATCAAAAAGACAATAAATAACAAGTGTTGGGGAGAATGTAGAGAAAAAGGAACCCTTGTATATGGCTGGTGGGAATTTAAATTGGGGCAGCCACTATGGAAGACAACATGGAGATTTCTCAAAAAATGAAAAATAGAACTATCATAACCCAGCAATCCCACTACTGGATATTTATCTAAAGAAAACGAAAACACTAATTAGAAGCCATATATACACTCTAATACTCACTGCAGCATTATTTATAATAGCCAAGATGTGGAAGCAACCTAAGTGCCCATCAATAGATAAATGGATAAAAAAAGATGTGGTATGTACACACACTCAAAAAACACACAATGGATTATTACTCGGACATAAAAAAGAATGAAATTTTGCCACTTGTGACAATATTGCTGGACTTCTGCTAAGTGAAAAAGTCAGGCAGAGAAAGACAGATACTGTATGATTTCACTTACATGTGGAAACTAAAAATCAAGACAAACTATAAACACAACAAGACAGATACAGAAAAAAACAGGTGGTTGCTAAAGGAGAGGCGGGTGGGGATGTAAGACATAGGTGAGGGAGATTAAGAGGTATAAACTTCAACTGTAAAATAAATGAGTCACAAGTATGAAATGTACAGTGTGGGGAATTTAGTCAATAGCTATATAGTATCTTTGTATGTTGACAAATCATAACTAAGCTTATAGTGGTGATCATTTTGAAATGTACAGAAATACTGACCTACTATGTTGTGTAACAGGAACTAGTATGGTGTGGTAGATCAATTATACATCCAAAGCAAACTCAGAAAAAGAGATCAGATTTGTAGTTACCAAAGGTGGTGGGGGGAGGAGGAATTGGATGAAGGCAGTCAAAAGATACAAACTTCCAGCTATAAGATAAATAAGTACTAGGGATATAATATACAACACAATAATATTAATTAACACTGCTGTGTGTTACACATGAAAATTGTTGAGAGCAAATCCTAAGAGTTCTCATCACAAGGAAAAAAAAACTTCATTCTATATCTTTAACTTTGTATCAGTATGAGATGATAAATGTTCAGTAAATTCATTGTGGTTTTCATAGTGGATGCAAGTCAAATCATTATGCTGTATACTTTCAACTTACACAGTGCTGTCTTTAAGTTATATCTCAATGAAATTAAAAGAAAATAAAAAGACATGAGCATGTGAAACCTAACTCACAGCTAGTATAGAAGGCAGCAGCAGTAATACAATGGCTGCTATCAACTGACAGAGACTGAGGTACCTTGAAGCATCCCAAGCGCTACTTCTCCTGAGAGTTAAATAAGAATATAAAGAGGAGTCGGTTTTTAACATCAGAATATGTTAAAAACCTCTTTTGAACCAAGAGCATTATACTAGGCAAGTCCAATGGTTCAGTCCTGTCTGCTCAAAACCAGATGAACCCTGATTAAAGTTTTTTGCTTTGCCTTTTAATACCTGATCATTGCCGGTGAAACGGTGGCAACCATTTCTTGAAGGATCTTTCTGGCTTTCTTTTTCACTTTATTCACAGCTTTTGACTGCTGCTGAGCAGAACCATCAGGGTTTAATTCAGCAGCCACTTCTGCAATTGCCTCTTGTACTCTGATTTCAAAATGGAAACACAGACAATGTAACTGGCTCTATGCTACAGTCTGTATTATTTTCTAAACTACAGATACAAATCACAAAGCAAAATATACTTTCTCTTTTAAATGTGATAACACAGGAGAATAAACTCAAGTTAGAAGTGCTTTCTTTGGCTGTTTATTAAATATTAAGTATATTATATTCCTAAATCAATGACCCTCTGAGGAAGCTGGAAGGCAGATTTAAAACTTTAATTCAAATTCACTGGGTAACAACTATATTAATTTGAATGTTCCAGCTATGCTGTGAGGGACACACAATTACACTCTGGCAGAAGGGAAGAAAAGAAAGATCATCCTTCTAGACATATAATTCAGAGGTACCCCAAACCCACTGCCAAAGTAACATGATCTTTTCTTTTACTTATTATTCATTTACATTGTGGCTTTATGAGTGGGATGTCTGTAAAACTCTCTAGGAGGGACTAAAGGTGAACATAAATAGTCACAAGCATTTTTCAAATCAAGTCAGTAATTTTAAAAGGCACAGCTTTACCATACATTGACATGAATCAATATTGTAAAGTAATTAGCCTCCAACTAATAAAAATAAAGGGAAAAAAATAAAAGGCACAGCTTTAGATTTAAACAGCACAAACCAGTAAGCTATAAGGTAAAGGGGAAGACTTAATCTAGTCTTGTAAATCTTCCACAAGCTTAGGGAAGAATGCATGAGGTTTCAACCTCCTAAAAATAACCTCTAACATCCTAGTTACGAGTCAAAACATCTGGATGAAATGAAACACACTTGACAGGCTTTACCTAGAAAACAGAATGTAGAATAACCCAAAGGAATTTCTCAAACAAGTGTTTTTTTCCTCACACTGCTGCTCATTTTAGAATAATGTACAGCCAAACTCCCCATCATTCATTACTACAAAAAGACCAATTCCACAGCACACTGATACACCATCCCTAAGTCTATCCTTGAACAACATTTATACCAATATGGCCAGGAATGCTTTCACAAGTAATTCACGTAGTTATTACACCACCATGAGCAACAATTCACTTGTTCATTCTATAAATATCAAAGTACCTACTACATGCCACTTCTGCTCAGCCCTTAACAACTGTACCACAGGGCTTGCATTTCTAAGCATTTTTCAATCCACTCTTATCTCCAGCTCCCCAAATCCAGATCAGTATCTAACATGGGCCACAACAATGAGGTGGAACAGAGATCAACCTTCATCCAGACTCCCACAGTTAAATGGCTAAACTTTGTAATGATTTCCCCACTCCATCAGAGTTCACGTAGGCCTCTCCAGTGTTTAATCAAGATCCTCTGAGGGCAAGGACAATTACCTTATTCTCTTAAAATTTCTAATAATGACTTTCCAATAAAAGAATCTGTGCCTAGGTGCTTAACAATTATTTAACAGAAATATGAAATGAGCTTCTCTTCTGGCTGTAAAGTAGGAAATGCATTGTCCCCAATATTCACATTACAAAATACTTAACAGAGAACTCTGGAAACATTTGCCTATCTGAACTCCAACTCGCCTTTCATATTAGAACCCCATTCAATTATTCATGCCTAGAACCAGGCTGCTCTTCCCACAAGGCGCCAAAGCCATCTGTTCTCTTGCCTTTCCTTGCTTTCTCCTGGAGCTTGAGCATTTAATGTTTGGAAACACAAACTCCTCTTGGGACAGAGTCCCAGAGAAACGAAAGGCTAATAAAGGAAATCCCCTCCCCACTCCCACCACCCATCCCTGCCCTTCCCCTTTATAGCATCCCGCCCTTACCGACCGCTGTTGAGCACGTTTTCAGTTATGTTGGTGGCAAACATGCCTTTATGGACGTCTCGCTCTTGAACGAAAAGCACATAAGAAAGACGTCTTGCCAGCCACCCTCGGTGCCTGCAACACGCAAAGAGTTTAGCAGAAAAGGACTCTAGGAATACCTATTATACAGAGGCTTCCCTTTTGTAAAAACAAATCCTCATTTCACCTGTTCCAGAGATTTAGGGTTTTCCTGTTGCAAATTCTCCTTAGTAAGTAGTTCAGGACGCTATGAAGACAGTTTTATTTCTTTTCTTTCATGTACTCTCAGCTAAAATTTAAACTTGGAATTTGTGTGTCAATGCTTGAATAGTATTGCTCTGCAAACTAATAATCCAAATATAGAAACAAAAGAAATGTAAGCATCTTACTTTATTAGTACCACTTAAAAAACCAAATATGTTGAATGTTTTATATACAAGCTATATGTTTTATATATATTTTATATGTTTTATATACAATGTTTTATATTCAAGCTATATAGCTTATAGCTACAGCTACGGGCTATAAAAAAAAAACTTGGGAATCTTTTCCTACCACAAAGGGCTAATTTTCTCTTTGCTGTCATTACAGTAATTCTTCTAAGGTGATTGCTGACTCTTGAATTGATAAGGCTGACAAGTTGACAGAAGTCAAGGTTAACTAGACAACAGTCTGAGTACTTGTACTCTGGTCTTACGAAGTCAGAAGCTCTTACTGAGCTTTCTTGCTGTGTCTCTCCTTTTGGCTTTTTTATAAAACACATTCAACACACCTAAGAAACAGGACAAACTCCAGCAGCGACGATGACTATGTGTTACCTGAATGGGGCTTAAGACAGGGATCTCGGAATAAGAACGCTATAAGATTTCATTGTGCGATGATTTGAAACCATTTGTAATGATAATATAATTCCTTATTATCATTTCCTCCATAAAGATATCCATACAGACAGTAGGAGATTTCAATTACAAATTAATTCTGAAAATATACAAAACATCTTCAATCAAGGAAAAGTAAATTGGGGGGGAATTATTTATGAATCACATGTTCCTTCAACTCTCCTTCCTGGCATTCTGTTTCTTCCTCCTTTCCTTTGTCTCAGTTCTCTGAACAACTTGGCCCAATATGTTAAGTGTTTAACTCTAAAATCTTTCAGTGAACAGTTTCAAAATTATTACTGGAATGTACAAAGTCCACACTCTTGATGAAATCCCTTTGCAACAGACTGAAAGCAGTGTGTGTGTGTGCAGAAAACTATTTAGGCTTTGCTCCCTACAACACAGAGAAGGGCTAAATAGCCAATCCACCTGTACAGGTAGCTTATTACACTGAATAGTTTCATATTGCCTAGTCAATATAACATGTAAAAAGTGTGTGTGTTTCTCATGTTTTTTTTTTTTTCCTTAACTGCCTCCAAGTGAAGACAACAAATGAACTTCTCAGTTTTGTATGTAAAATATCTACTTACATAAAGAAGAGACTGAATGGGATTCTTTTCCTTAGGATTTTAGTCATGTCAACCAAAGGGAAAAAAATTGCTCTTTCCTTTTAACGTAAGAAAACAAGAAAGAGAGGAAAGGAAGGGCAGCACAGAAATTGGCAAAACCACATCTCTTGATTTTAGTTCTATTAAAAAACAAAAAACTTAGCTAACATATATGCAAGTATATGCTCATTTATAAAAACATCATTAAAATATGAGCAGTAACATGAGAAAGCCTTAAAATTTATGTATTTGACTCCTTGGACCAGTTTTTTCTCGAAATTTCATGTATTTCTCATCTTCTGAGCCTCTAGGCATTTACTCTTTGAACTACAAGGATTGGCAGTGGTTCTGGCTCCCGTTCTGCTCTTGTCTTGCAGACATTCACTCTCCTTCCTCATCCCCAAGGCTAAATCCACTGAGAATAAAGCCTCTTTTTCTCTCACTCTGATGCCTGGGATTTGGAAGTAAGAATTCTAAGAAAAGACTTAAACCAGTAATAAATCAAAGAATATTCACTCAATAGAAGAAAATACCTTCCAAAACTCTATAGATTAGGTAGATTTCAGAAAGTTACATTTTTAAGTATAAAATAATAATTTACCATAAGACATTCAAACCTACATCTCTCCTCCAACAAATCTCTATCACATTTTGACACATTTCAGCAGCAACATCAATATATGAATAAGTTAAAGAAACCTATAAGTAATATCTACAGTCTCATGAAAATATTATATAATACAGCAGTGGAATAGTAGGTCTCTCAGGTTCCAATTTTTAGATTAAGTATCATATGTTAGAAGTTAATACCCTATTAACTCTTGAAAAAAAGAAAAAAGAGATTCATCTTAAAGTGCATTGGTTGGTTATTATTGAGTCTTTCTCTTGACATGCATTGGAAGTATAAGAAATTTATTTTTACCTTGTGTGCGTTTCATTGATATAAATAACATTCCGCAAACCCAAAGACGGGATACTGGGGTTGAAAAATTTATCCTATATAAAACAAAATAAATATAGACATAAATATACAACTGGATTGTTGGTGAAGGACTCAAATTACTAGTTCTTGAGGACTTTCAAAAATCTGAGATGAAGAAAAAATGTTTTATTGAAAAGTACATTTTAGCTTTCAAAGGTCACAAACTCAAAACTACTCTTCAGCATCCTGTAAAGGAAATAGTGCCTCTCCCTTTTCCGAGCACCCCCACCCTCAATCAGAAAGAGTTAAAGTCATGATGGCTTGTCACTGAAAGGAATACTGGAGATTTCACTGTTTTCAAAATACAAAAATACTATGCTAAGTAGTAATAGTGAAAGTTGCTCAGTCTATGTTAAGTACCATGTATTATTTTGAGATTACTGAATCTTGCAATAATCCTGACACATAAGAATTATTATCCTCATTTTTTTTTTTTTGCCTTTTTCAGTTTAATGGTTTTTTAGTATTAAGAGACATTAGAAGTCTCTTTTAAGGAACTCTCTTTGCAGCCAATTTTGGTTTTAATTCACTCACTTTACTAGCCGAGTGGATAATAATGTATTCTAAATCAACATCTTATCTGTGGCCGTCAGAGAAATGACTTCTGCTCATAATCACTAATATATTCTTAAGTTTATTTAGAGATTAAGAGGAGCACGATTTTGAAACTTTTCTTAATGTAGTAAAAGGCTTTATGAAGTATATGAAAAGGTACAATTGGAAGAATGGAAAAATCATAAGCAAATATCTTCACATTCCATCATAATCAGACTAGCACTAGAGGAGGGAGATGAATCCCAATTATGCCACTGATCAGCTACATGACCTTCAGCAAGCTTTTCCTCAATTCCCTCATCTGAATAATGAGAATTATAATAATAGGACTTTTGTGAATATAAGAACAGTTTTTACTTTTAATATTACTTGTCTATTTTTATATATTTACATATGTTTCTTTGGGCTTCCCAGGTGGTTCCAGTGGTAAAAAAAAATCCATCTGCCAATGCAGGAGATGTAAAAGAAGCAGGTTCAATCCCTGTGTCAGGAAGCTCCCCTAGAGAAGAGCATGGCAACCCACTCCAGTATTCTTGCTGAGAGAATCCCATGCACAGTGGAGCCTGGCAGGGGATCACAAACAGTTGGACAGGACTGAAGCAACTCAGCATGTACACACATATATTTCTTTTACATATTAATGACCTGGCAAAGACAAATCATTTACTCTAATAATAGTAATTCTTGAGGCCTATAACATACATTATCTCATTCATCCTCAGGGTAACCCATATCCCCATGTTATAGGAGGAAATTGAGGCTGGCAGAAGCTTAGTTGTCAACCCCAGATCTTGCTTCAAAGTACGTGGTCTTTCTAGTCCCCTAAAATTATTGTCTACTTAATGAGAAAATGTATGACTAAAGGTCACCCTTTTTGTGAGTAATCTTGGAAGATAATCCAGAAATAGTTCCACTAAAAAGATAACTCCATAACTTTAACAATGTAGGCAAAAAAGGTAAACCTTCCACAAATAAATGCTGAGAAAGCATAATGTACCCACAAAAGATGATGTCAAAATACTTAAGTGCTATCTCTTTATAGAGAAATAGGACTTCAGAGAAAAGGTAGTGGAAAATCACTATAAAAACACTATCAAACAAAAATTATTTTATATAAACAGGCCATGGAAGAACTTAAGATCAAGTTCAGCATCATCAGGTACTACATTTAAGCAAAAATCATCTATCTATTTTACCACTCATCTCTCCCCACCCCAAACCATTACCATCACCAAATAATTTCTGACTGAAGAACACATTAAAGTATTGTTTTGATCTTTTAACCATTCAAAATTAGAATTAGATGAAATGCCAGATCTAAAAAGAAAAGCCACATGACCTTCTACTTAAATCTTTATTTCCATTGGCCTATTAATCAGAACTGGCCTTACTTCTAGACTAGACGTTTCCATGATCCTTCACGTCCACCAAACTATTTCAACAAGATATGTGTGATTTAAGAGGAACACTATTTCTGTTGTGATGTTCTTGAGCAGACCTGAATATTTAACATAAACTGCTTGTTAAACAAATCTCTCCCAGATTAATAAAGTCCTTATGCCAGGCTAGAAATTCTACTTCCTGCCCAGCCAACCCTAAGTGGAAAACTCACACAGCACCAGTAGTTATTCACATAGGTTATAAGCAACCTCAATAAATGGCAGGGTTAATAAACAGCACTTAAATGTTCTAATAACTAGCGCATCCCAGAGACAGTTTACCATCCAGATGACTCTGCTGCAGGAGATCACAGCCATATTAGCATCTACATTCCTGTGCCAGCTCATACTTCTGGCAAAATGCCCTCAGATGCATACTTATCCAATCAACTCAGATACTATACTGTAATGTGGAAGATTTCGCACAGCTTTTTTCCACCAAAATACAAACAACAAACCCATCACACCCTTTCTTAAATCTTCATGCTCACATTTTAGTCATCATCCTTCATTATCACAGCATCAAAAGAAACCCCCTTGTACCTCCCTCCACTGTGGGAATAGACACTTAGCAAAATGGTAAAGCCACAGTTTTAATTTCTTTTTCTGTCCCACTCACATTCACATGTGTGTGTATGTGCATATGTGTATGCACGCTCGCTTTCTCTCTCTTTTTCTCGTTCATCTTGCTAGTATTTTAAAGTTCAGTGCTAAATTTCAATGTCTTGAAGTTACATGAAGGATCCCACTAACTCTGAAAGAGTTATCTGAAAGTAAGATCTACTCTCCCCCTAAAGTCATACTAAGACAAAAACAAAACAAAATATTGCCTGGCTCCAACTATTAGACCAATTTTTACTGAATAAACGAATGGAAAGAAAAATTAAGTCAACATTTTTACTTGGCATATTTGGTTCATAAACGTGGACCTAAGTTCTAAAAATGCATTAAGTCCATTAAGATTAAGCAAAAATAAAGTTTACACAAAGTTGGAAATTTATGTCACATATTTCACTCTGTTTTTGGGGGGCTTCCCTGGTAGTTCAGACGGTGAAGAATCTGACTACAGTGCATCCCTGGGTTGTGAAGATCTCTTGGAGAAGGGAACGGCAACCCATTCCAGCATTCTCGCCTGGAGAATTCCATGGACAGACTCTGTTATTAAAGGTCAACAAAGGTATTAAAGGTAACATTCTTACCCAGCTCTGAGGGGTACAGGAATAACAACATCTTCCCACAAAGGGCCTCTTCCGGCTCATTAGGCTTTCTTTCCACTTCAAGGTTGCAGATCTGAAGACAGTCGGCCTGAAACCACACTCACCCTAATAAATATTAAGGAAAAACTGTGTGTGAATGGCAAGAAAATTCTACTTGTCTACTTGATCTCAAAACTCTAAAGTCTCTAAAACTCAGCCGTTTGAGACAGAAGAGAAATTTCTGACACATTTTCCTTTGGTAGCCTGCACTTCTGTTTTTCATTCCAAGGACTCCGTCTATGACCGACACCTGGAACAGAGCTTGGACCATAAGCAAAAGCTGAGCACCTAAGAATAACAGTAGCTGGCAACATTCAAAACAGCATTCAAAGGTTTAAACATTAAGTTGTAAAAGGTCAGACAGCCTTCTGACAGTAACAGGAGGAATAAAGTCAGACCCCTGGAGCCCTACGCTAACAGTTATTCTCCCTCCCTCTTAAATCACACACTCCTACAAAAGAACTATAAAAGCCTTACTTAAGAGTAAGCAATTTTGTTATAATATAGCTTAAAATAATTCACTTTAAATGAAAAACAAGGTCAACTTATATAATATTCCTTTATCCTAACAAGAGAGTTTAAAGTCTGGAATTGAAATTACAGCCACACTATCCAGTTAGGGTCAAATTCTGCTCTTCTGTCTAAATAATTTTCTCTTAACTTTGAATTCATCAGTTGCTCAAATCCAGTGATATAACATTCTCAAAAAGAAACCCAAAGACCACCCAAAACTCCAACCCCCCCAAAAAAAAACTTTCTGAAGCAGACTGAAGAAATATTGAAAACATGCCATGTTATACTGACATAAAGAAAACAATATAAGAACAACAACAACAACAAAAAAAAGCCAAAAAATGCCTTTTGGATTGGGATTCATACTGAAATTTCCTATTTTTAATTATTTAAATAAACTTTATTTCACTACAAAATTCACACTTCTGAAATGTAAATATGGAAAACAGATACAGAATAAAAAAAAAAAATCTGGTTAAATTACACCACTCAAAAGAACAAACAGGCATTTTTTCCTCTGCAAAAGTGTTTTGCTTTTAACATAATCACTGTCTTTACACTTCTTACCCATTTTTTTTCTTCCCAATAACCTAATACCATAAGAATTTTAAAATATTAGACTTCATAAACTAACCTTCAAAGAGGTGGAGGCAGTTTCTATAGCTATTAATGTCTATTTGAATTTATGCTTCCAGTATATCTACCTTCATTAACACTGAGAAGAACATCTTTAGGCTGAATGCTTTTAACCTGTATCTTAAACTTACCCATTCCTCGGTGGCATGCTTACACCGACCAATACTGTATTCAGATGAATTTGGCAAATAAGATACATCTATTGTGCCAAGGGTCAATGCAGATTCATCCATGTCACACAACGTAACTCCCGAATCATGTGCTATAAAAAATGTATACCATTTAAATTAATGAGGGATCCAGACAGTAAATAGCAGAACTCAAAATTCAGATTTCTATGTTATTTTGCTTCAGGGTAGGATGTCAAATGAACTAAGGAGGACTTCTTGGTCACTGTATAAAACTGGACTTTGATGTATATATATGAACTCAGTTAAGTAATTTGGATTTTAAAAAAACATTTGTATCTTTAGACTTCATGAACAAAACAGCTATGAATTCACGAGGGTAATTATCACCTTATTTCAGGTATGTGAAAAATAATTATTTCATTTGTGTTAACTGAATAGTTCCTAGAAGGATGAAAATATGCATTTATTAACTTAAAGTTACATGTATGCACACAAAAGATAATTTTTGAAAAATTATATGCTGGGAATTTTGGGTCATATATACCATGCAATGTAAAAGGGACAAAGGTAATGAGTGCACCTCTAACATTTCTCACTTAAACCGAATCAAGATTTTGATTTTCTTGTGCTGCCTTAAATGAAATGGTATTTGCACTTTTAATACACCTACAAAGCTCTAAAACAAGAAGACACTATTCTAAAATATCTGATTTATAAGTTTTCATATCTTTGCAATAAGCCTTTTCTCGCCCTCAGAAAAAACGTTCACTGACAGTGAACTGCTAAAAAAAAAAAAAGATATTAAAATATAAGAATTTTCTAACCTAATCCTCAAATTATTTCAGCTTTTGATTATTTCTCACCTGGCTTTAAATCAGTTCTTTAAAACCTTAAAAACTCATGTCCAGGTTAACAGAGTTCCTTGGAGGGCAGATTCCCATTTCTTTACAATCCCCATACGGATTTATAGTGGTAACTGTAATTCTCGGGATAACTATGCACATTGTTAACAATTTTACCTAAGTAACAATCTAACAAATAGGCGAGGGGAAGGAAGAGTAAACCAATGCCCTTGGCATGAAAGCTCTTCTGTATTATAAAATAAAACTCAGCTATCAGTTTCAGGTGCAGAATGTAGCTACGACAGGGGGAGCCGGTGGCTGCCTGGGAAAATGAAGACTTGGCTGGTCCCAGTGATGAGGGGAGGACAACAGCGGGAAACAGCCCACACTTCGCTCCTCCCTCCACACGTTTGTGCAAGGTTGAAAAGTGCCCCGACTCCACCCCACCCAAAAAGAAAAGCCAGGCTATGCGCTGAGGGGAGCCAACTGTGGGTTTTGAAAGCAAGAGAGGCAGGACGGCCGACTCTGAAGCCAAATACATCCGAGTTCGAATCCCCCCCTGTTTACCATCTGTGGTCACCAACCAAGATGGGTTAACAACAACTTAGACAAGTTGGTTAATTCCCATGTCTTGGTTTCCCCACCTGGCAAATGGGCATGATATGATCAATCTTACCTCCTGGGTTGCGGGAGTTCTGCATAATACCCCTAGGGCGCCTGGCACTGTGTCTGACGCCCAGTGAGTGCTCAGCTCAATCAGTGGTCATCGGTCAGGGACTGTCCCCTGCACCAGGTGCTTTCAGCGTACCCCTGCAGCCTCAACGCCAAAGTCAATGTCTCCACGTCCCCTTCGGGTGTGCGGAGGGACTGAGCCCAGAGGGACTTCCCTCCCGCCCGGGGGAAGCCCTGCCGCAAGCCGGGGTCCCCGGGAGAGAACGAGCTCGACCCCCACGCCGGCACGAGCCGGGCCCACCGCTCAGGGGGAAACCCGGCGGGAGCTCGAGAGAGAGAGAGAGTGCCGAGGCGAGCGGGCCGCCGGACAGCTGGCAGGAGCCGCGCTGGGTCCGGCGAGAGGGCGACCACGCACCTGTCCCGGCGCTCCCGGCCCCAGCAGCCTCCAGCAGCCTCCAGCAGCCTCCCGCAGCCCGTTCCCGCCCTGGCCGCTCGCACCCGCAGCTCCGCCGGCTAGAGCTCTGCAGCTGCCAGCATTTCAAGCCTTAGCCGGCGCTGCTGCGGCGTCGCGCCCTGATGACGCAACGGCGGGGGGAGGGCACGAGAGTGACGGGCACAGCCCACAGCTGGCCAGTTCCGGGCGGCCAGGGCTGGGGACCCACGGTGCGCGCGACTCGGGCGTCGTGCACCGCAGCGTTGGGGGGGGGGGGGGGGGCTGCGGATCTGAGAGCAGCAGGGGTGCTCGCAAGCGTGTCTGTGTTGTGTGTGGCCAGGCGTGTGCTGCCTAGTCGCGCGGCGAGTCTGCCTGGACGCGGAGTCACGTGAGTGTGTGTGCTCCTGTCTGCGTCTTGTGAACGCTGCTCCTCTGAAAGTTTGCATCTCCGCCCGGCTCTCCTGGGAGCACGCACGTGGGCCGGCTGAGTTTACTTGTATAGGTGTGGGCCGTCTTTTTTGTGAGATATGTAAGACTGCAGAACTTACTGGGCATGAGAGAGGTGGGGACTGGAATGACCCTGATGTGTAATTTTCCTAACAGGGATTTAGTGCCTTTTCCCTAAAGAAAGAAAATGAGGAATTCAAATAGAAACAAATAAGGCTTGGAAGAACCTGAATCCACATTTCCCGGCCTTTAGTCCTTGAAACAAAATAGCAAAGAGCATGAAGAGTTTGTTTTGTTTTTTTTTTTTTCACAGTATTTGTCTTGCCATTGACAAGGCCAGTGGTTATAAAGAGATTAATAATTTATTGATAAAAGGTAAAAGATAACCTTTTACCTGCACTAAAGCAACAGGCATGAAGTATGAACTAGCAGATGGGGAGGGGTGATGGGCTTCCTTGGTGGCTCACAGGTAAAGAATCCGCCTTCATTGCAGGACACATGGGTTCAATCCCTGGGTCAGGAAGATACCCTGGAGTGAGGAATAGCAACCCACTCCAGTATTCTTGCCTGGAAAAATCCCATGAACAGAGGAGCCTGGTGCGCAACAGTTCACAATGTAGCAAAAGAGTGGGACTGTATTGAGCACCCACATAGGCAGCAGATGGAGATACAAAGATGATTCAGGCCTAATCCCTGTCCTGGCACCTCTGCCACCAGTCCCCACCTCCTCTGCGCGCATGAACCCTAACCCTCTCTGCCAGACAATCTCTGTCTCTGTCCACCCATCAAAAACCATCCAGAGCTCCCCACAGTCCAAATGCCTAAGCCTAGCATCTAAGACTTTCACAGAAAAGCCTCTTCTTTCCCCACCGTTCTCCATCAGGAGCCCCTTCCCTTAGCCTCTCTGATTTTCCCTCATCAAGCCCTGGGCACTGGCACTCCTAACTGTGCTCACACCACTCTCCCCTAAGTTTGACAGTTCTTTGCTGAACTCAGTCTCCAAGCCTTCCCTCATCTCATCCACCCTGTATACTCAGACCGCCAGGTTCCATCTCACAGATTGACTGTGGTGCCACACCTTGCGTCTCTATCAGTTTCTGTCGTTCCTCCACAAGATTATGAGCTCATCATCAGTGCTTGCTTCTCAGATAACACTACAATGTATTCTTATAAGAAACACTCAGTAAATACTTGTTGAAGCTGAGGAACAAGAAGTAAAAGAAGCATCACTTCTCTTGCACTTTCTACTGTTTATAAATCCATCCCAAAACAATTCAAAACAGCAGGAGTGATTATTCATTTAAGAAAAGACTTTGAGCTTCTTAAAGTCAAGGGCCCTGTTTTTATCCAACTCCCCTACACACACACACAGACACACAACACACACCTTCGCCCCAAGCATACACCTAAGTATTCAAGACCAACGTTGACTAGAATAAGATAAATTTTCATCCCCAAATATCGTGAAATTTGTGTACGGATTACTGGCCCCTGATGTGAAAGAAAGAAAAGGAAGGAAGAAAATAGAGGAAAGTCACAGGATTTGAAGTCACTGTTAAAGAAAAAGTAATGCAAAATGAAGTAGAGCATCACAGGAATGAAAATGTAAGCTAGAGGGGAAAATTAGTTGTCTTACATAAACTTCATTTGTATGCAACTCTTCTGTAACACCTGTTGCACAAGAGTTTACTGCACCGAAAGGAGATGTGGATTGCAAAGCACAGATTACTTAATGAGGATTGTTTTGGAAACAAGTGACAACCTTGGCAGTCTTTCATCAATAGAACAGGAATAATTATAGTAATCCAGATGCAGTCTAGCCAGCCAAGGCAGAGCAACAATAACTGAATTTACTCTCCTGCTAACACAACAACAGCAAAAACAAAACAAGCAAAATATATTAAAAAGACGGCTGTACAGGGCAGTGCTCCATAAGGGAAAGGAAACGAACAAAGTTAAGCACTGTGATTGCCTCAGCTCACTGCCCAGAAAGAGTTGCCAGGCTATAGTGCAGACAGAGTTATCCAGAAAGAGCTAGGCAGACTTTCTGAGTTGAGCTAGAACCAGGAGACCAGGAAGACCAAAACAGTTGGAGTTGGGAGAAGAGTACCAGAGAGGTGTTCTTGTTCCCACAAGGCAGAGTGAAAAGATGCCCAGTAAACCTATGGGACCAGGAATATAGGGCTTGATCCTGGCCCCTAGACTGGAAAATCTCATAACTTGCAACTCAGAAAGTCTCGCCTCAGTGCTTAGTTGCACCTGACTCTTTGTGACCCCATGGACTGTAGCCCGCCAGGCTCCTCTGTCCATGGAATTTTCCAGGCAAGAATACTGGAGTGGGTTGCCATGCCCTCCTCCAGGGGATCTTCCTGACCCAGGGATTGAACCCGTGTCTCCTGCATCTCCTGCATTGGCAGGCGGATTTTTTACCACTGAGCCACCTGGGAAGCCCCTTGCCTCAGTAGTGGGATAAAATTAATCCTAGAATAAACACTGCTCTGGTCCTACCTAACAAATAAAAGGCAGTCCCCAAAGGATCAAACTTTCCAAAGACAAAATGTTCCAAAACAAAGCACAAGAATACTTATAGGAAGTCAGAAATATTTAGCACCCAACAAGGTAAAATTCACAATGTTGTCCTTCCAATCAAAAGTCATCAGGCATACAAAATGAAGCAGGAAGCAATGAACCACAGTGAGCAGAAAAGTTAATAAATTGAAAGAATCCCAGAAATGAC